CACCGGCGCTGGCACCGGCGCTGGCACCGGCGCTGGCACCGGCGCTGCCACCGGCGCTGGCACCGGCGGCATGGCGGTGGACGGGGCGCGGCGGTGCGGGAGCTCGGCCTGGCATCGTGGGGAGCGGAGAGGCCGGAGGTTCGGCTGGACCCTGTTCGTTCCATTTGGTGTTCGTTAGAGACACGACCTTTGACAAGAAGTCGCATCTGCGATGTTTCCGGTTTACAACATGGCCTGACATTGGTCAGCGGTTTCAGGTTTTGCGCGCGTGAGACTACTTCAATGGTCAGGAGATCTTGCCAGATGCTTATATCCTGAATAGAACTGGGAGCACTGCGTTGGCAAGCATCAGCCGCTACAATCTACAGGCCTGGTTCCAATGTCACAAAGAATAAGGCAATGGCCAAAGACACTCTGAAATGTCCAATGTGTAGCTATTTTTCTTCATATTGTGGGCATACAGACCCAATCAGGGTGAGTTTATGCTGAAGCATGCACCATCACCTGGATCTCTTCAACTAGCACCAGCAGTCCACCAACTGTGCCTTCCACAGCACCAGCAGTGCCAGCATGGTTAGGAAGCCCAGGAAGCCCACCAAGAGCGGTGTCCACTTCCATAGCCCGCGCCCACAGCCCCTCCGCCGCTTCGCCATTGCCGTCCATGGCGCGCACCGCGGCACCGGCGCGTGCCGAGTGGGGGCGCGGCGCGGTTTGGAGCTGAAAGAAAGCACGAGAAAAGCGAGTGAACGGAGGTGGCGCTTCGTTTTGGCATCTATTCACCTCCGACACGGGAGGGGGACCAACAGCCTGAGACAGCCTGAGCTTGGCCGACAAAAGTGAAATGCCAGGCCGGCAGGCAGCTTTTTTCTTAGCAGCCAGGCTCCAGCTCATGGCTGAAATTCCACTTTCTCGTCGACTTTAGGCTCTCTCCGAACAAAACCATGTCTGAGCTGTCAACATCAGGAAATTCTGCCAGTTTGTTGGATGGAATTTGAGCAAGTTTGCGCAGCCTTTTGCGGCCTTCTTTCTGGGCCTCATTCTCGCACCGGTTTGCCTAGACACAAAGCGGTTTCGCTGTCTGCAAAGTGCAGCCCTTCGCGCAAAAAGGAATGCTGCAGGCGGTTGGAGAAGCTCAGACGATGCAGAGTTTCCAACATATTTTAGGCTCTATACTGTGCACAACTAAACTACGAAAGGATCTTCGGTGAGACTTGTCTCTTTCATTCTCGAAGTCATGGACGGCTCTTTTTTGCCAACTCGTCCTGTTCAGTATCGGAGACATCCTTCTGCGGATCATGGGAGTCTCACAGTCCACCGACCCAAAGGAGTCAGAGATGGAGCCTCATCTACGCGAAGTGAAGATCAGGTGCCACTGATCGGCTCTGTCAGCTCTCTCTCTCTCTCTCTCTGACACTGAACGCCAAAGGGATCCGATCGCCAATGGTTTTCAAGGTGTGAAGAGTATTTCGGGGCTTCAAGCGCAGAAACGTCACTGCGAGGACGTCGATCCCCGAAGAATCCGCACGGCCATCCACACGGCCCAGCAGATGGCCGTCGTATACTCTCGCTGGGAGCTTCAACGTCGTGTAGGCAGAAATCCCTTCAGGTTTCTGGGCAACTCCTGCAAAACGCCTCTTCGCGCCCATTGCAACGTACGTAGACGAGATGTCAAAGCTCGTGGTCTGCAGAAAAGCGCTAGACATCGGAGGAAGCCCATCTTTCGCTCTCGTGGTGGGGGTTAAAGCGGAAAAGGAGGCTCCGGCTCCACGACATTGCCAATGGAGATACTGAAATGCCAAGGTGTCTTCTTTTTCTCCTTTGTCCTGCTTTTTTTGTGCTAGCAACGCTACGGGAGCAGCTGCTGCAGCTGGAAGTGCTTTGCTTGCCAGGTTTATCGTGCAAGTCACGCAAAGGCAGCTCTGGCCGGGGCCCGAGCTCAAGGCAAGAATTCAACTCTTTGTTGACTTTAGACTCCCTTCACCAAAAGTGAGACATTCCTTGAGCTGTCTATAAACAAAACCATGTCTGAGGAAACAAAATCAGTTTGACCTCTGGAATTCAGCCCATTTTCAAGCTCAGGCCTTCCCTTCTGTGCCTGATTATGGCACGACAGCCCGCCCAGTTCGAAGCGATTCGCTGCTGTCTGCGAATTTCGGTGCTCATGCACCCAGAAAGTACAGGAACGCTGCGGGTCCGAAATCGCCTTTCAGCCCCAAAGACACTAGGTGCTGGGTGTCCAATATCTTGAAGCTACTAGGTTGGAGGCCATCGCTGGTAGGTTGGAGGCCATCGGTAGTAGGTTGGAGGCATCGCTATTAGGGTTGGAGGCCATCGCTATTGGGTTGGAAGCCATCGCTATTAGGTTGGAGGTTTGGTTGGAGACCATCGCTAGACTACTAGGTTGGAGGCCAAGTCAAAGAGAAGTGACTTGAAGGGTCCAAGTCAGACAATGTTATTCATATGTGACTTGGTGGGTCCAAGTCAGAAATGTTTGAATTGATAGATGTGACTTGGTGGGTCCAAGTCAGA